AATTTTTTAAATTTTATTATGAAAATTTATTTGTAGGAATATAAAAAATGTCGCGTGAAATTTCTAATAAATACAAAATTAATTAGTTCCTCATATCGAAGAAAAATAGCTAAGTTAGAAACAGAAATGATAATAAAAGGTTTTGATAGCAATTCTTTTGCTTCTACATCTAATCAAAACACACAATCACACATTGAGAATTTACATAATGACAATATGGTACATAATGATAATATAGTACATAATGACAATATGGTACATAATGACAATGTGGTATACAGGGTGATTCAAAATAACCTGATGTCCTTGCAATGTCATATTCTTGAGCGAATTCTGAGACGATTTTTCCTTTTACAAAATTTTGTCCAAAGCTTAGTTTTCGAGTTATAATTAAAAATAGTTTGCTACTTATGAGTCCGATACAACGGACAGCAGGGACGGTACAATGCGTCATGAGACGATAGTAAACATTTGACAGTCTCATTATACGTTGTGCGTCCCTGCCTGTCCGTTGTACCGAACTCGTAAGTTGCTACCTATTTTCAATTATAACTCGAAAACTAAGATTCGGACAAAATTTTGTAAAAGGAAAAATCATCTCAGAATTCGCTTAAGAATATGGCATTGCAAGGACATCAGGTTATTTTGAATCACCCTGTATAATGAAAATATAGTATCAAATGAATGCGCATCAAGTGAGTCATTATCCAATCAGGATATTGTACACGACTTTGATAATAATAATACAGAAATTGATTTAGCTTCAGAAAATAATAGTACATCAAATAATATATTATTAGATGGCAGTTTCAATAGCAAATCAGATAGCGGATCAGATAGAAGATCAGATAAAAAAAAAATATTGATTTTAAAAAGTTTTTAGCTCATTGGGCAGTTACAGAACGCATTCCACAATTATCATTACATTCTTTATTAAAAGGTATAAAACAATATACGTGTAAAGATTGTAGTTTTAAAATTTCATCTGATGCAAGAAGTCTTGTACGTACTCCTCGAAATACTACTAATATAAATGTTTATGCTGGTGGCCAATATTATCACTTTGGATTGTCAAAAACAATATTAAGTATTATATCATCAATTCCACAAAATGTAACTAGTATCAAATTATCTATAAATGTTGATGGACTCCCCTTATCTAAATCATCACAACAACAATTTTGGCCAATCTTGGGATCTATAACTGAGTTATTAAAAACGTATTTATTATTGGTCTTTATTATGGTACACAAAAACCATCTAATCCAAATAATTTTCTTCAACAATTCGTAAACGATACAAAAATATTATGTAAAGATGGAATTATTATTAATAATAAAAATATTCCATGTACCATAGAAGCAATTATATGTGATGCGCCAGCCAAATCATTTATATTACAAACAAAAGGACATAATGGCTATTCGAGTTGCACAAAATGTATTACCAAAGGTAGTTTTATTAACGGTAAAATGTGTTTTCCTGAAATAAATGCTCAACTACGAACAGATAATGATTTTCGTTTAAAAAAAGATGAAAATTATCATATTGGACATTTAGTTATTTCAGAGATTCCAAATTTGGATCTTGTACACAAAATACCTTTGGATTATATGCATCTCGTTTGTTTAGGAGTTACACAGAAATTGTTATATATGTGGTTATTTGGAGAACTTAAAGTTCGTTTACAAAATCGTAAAGTTGAGACAATATCATTGCAGTTGGAACAAGCATTAAAATTATACGTACCATGTGAATTTGTACGTAAGACAAGATCACTTGTTTTTGTGAAATTATGGAAAGCCACCGAATTTAGAAATTTTCTACTATATATTGGTCCTATAGTTTTAAAATCATTTCTGCAAAAAAATTTATATAATCATTTTTTAACTTTACATGTGGCAATTAGAATTCTATGCTGCTTGCAGTTTCAAAATTTCATTGATTATGCTCAAGAACTACTCCAATATTTTGTATTAACATTTGCATTGTTATATGGTACTCATAATATTTCTCATAATGTACATGGTCTTATCCACCTAGCACAAGATGTTAAAAAGTTTGGTCCATTAGATGGTTTTAGTTCCTTCAAATATGAAAATTATTTACAAATGTTGAAAAAGTTATTAAAAAAACATGACAAACCTCTACAACAGGTTGTTCGGAGATACATTGAACATGAACAATGTATTATCAATACAGCAGAAAATTCTCTTGAAACATCATCTTATTTTATAGTAGATTTTAAATCTTCTCATGTAAACGGCCCTTTAATAGAAAATTGTTCTAACCCTGCCGAAAATGTGCGATTAAAACCGATTAAAACGGAATCCTTTTTAATCGATTTTAAGCTGTTTTAATCGATTCAATCCACGAGCGGATTAAAAAGTAATCGGTTTTAATCCCACACGAATCGTAATTAATTTTACTATTGCTTTCGCAAATTATTTTTAATCCGAAATAATTACATTCTAATCCATACTGTTATCAATCCAAATAAATTTGAATAATTAGATGGATATACAGGGTGTCCCAAAAATTTCAGCGCTTGTATGCTGGTAGAGAAGAATAAACTAAATCAAAAAGTCCTCTACAATTTTGCAATTTTCGCAAGGGTTAATGAGATATTAATTATTAAAGATTGCCGAATAAGCGCGTATCCGCTCAGCCCACCGCCGAATGCAAGCGCACGGCGAGATACGACCGCCCAGCGAACGTGATCGCTTGGCGAGCGGTGAGTTGCTTAAAATGCAAGCGACAATGGCTGCGCGCGAGCGGTCAACTTGCAGGATGCTGGCAACATCAAAGTTTAAGCATTTCTACTATATTATATGCAATAATTATGTTATTAGAAATTTTGACGTTGTCATTCTGCAAATTAACCAACGATTAAATTTCAACCACGTTGGTATAAACGGACATAAGTTGTATATTTTTTTTAATAAAAAAAGAGAACTGTTTATTACAATTATATTTATTATTAATAATTTTAAATATATTAAGGTTTGCATAACATTTTCAATTATATTTTTTAAAATAAATCTACAATATTTTTTTAAATAAACAGAATTGTATTTATTACAATGTTATTATTATTGAATCTCATATACATTCGGAAGTTTGCATAAATATCTAGAATATCCTACATTTACATGAATAATTTTGCTTTTTACATCACTTATGGGAACTATTGAGCTATATACATAATCTTCTTATTCTATCTTATCCATGTACGATACATGTACGAACGGTTTGTTGGAACTAATTGTAATTTTTGATATTTGAATGTGACATTTATTATTTAAAAGAATGATGTGTAATATTTGTCCATATTCACCTGAATGCAACTTAACCATTGTGTCGCTCGTCCTTCGTGCTTTACGATATTTCTGACTGTGAAATATAACACCTTTAACGATACATTTTTTATACGCTTTATACATCCTATCATCGCATTTTACTCTATAGCATTTGCCAATTAAGACAACATTGTTGTCATCATACATGCCGGAATTTGATAAATGTTTATATTGAAATAAATTTGTGCAGTATTCACGCACGCCAGATGCATCAGAATAATCTATGTTATTCATTAGAAAGAGCAATATCTCCAAGGACTTTTTTGACATTTGTTGATCAATTCCATTCGGACCATTCATACATTGTTTCAATTTGTATATATTGCTCTCAAAAGGAAATGTTGAAGACGACCACAAAGGACCCGTTTTCTTTACAGATTGTACTATATGCAATAAAGCGTGCACATTAAAAGTCATTTTTTGTTGTCCATAATATAATTCAAAATAACCAACAAACTTCAACAAGTTGTATTCACATTGTTTTAATTCATTTGCAGTTATTTCAGTTTGTAATAATACGTACAAACTATTTATAAGTAAAGAATAGTGCGTGAATGCATCCTGATTTAAAATGCCCTTAAGGCATGGCAAACTGTAATATAACAACCATGATTTTTCCGTTGATGCCTTCCATTTTGCCCGATCATGTAGAGATTCCGGAAGTCTATGAATATCTTGTGTCGGTTTAATTAAACTCAAACGTTGGTTAATAATATTCCGGTCAGCTTTATTTAACTTAAAACACGACTTAGGATCCGAAGTCCACTGACTCCAAATATATTTGCTTACACCACAGAGAATACCATGCATATATTCGTAAGCAAATGACCAAACCATGTCAATTTGTGGAATTTGAGATACTGAGATATCACCTCGTACGCCCATTTCACTGTTTTTCTTTAAATCACGCACAACTTGAACATTCTTGTGGTGACCGCCAGCAGTCCGTAACGGTGGATCATCTTCACGTACGAGATATCTTATTCTGTGTATTTCTGCAATATATTCTCCGGGATGGTAGCACCAACTGCAACCATATCTTCCGTTAAATTGCACTCTATTTTGCATGATTGGACGGCAGACGGAATCAACGGAACACACTAAAGGACAGAATTTCACACGAATCTTTTTATTATTAGAATCACGAACACTAATACCGGTATTATAAAGATAAGAAATTTGATCATTGAATTTAAAAAAATATAAGTCCAATAATTTGCTGTTCGGTTCGTGAGTACATATTAGTAGCCCAGCTAAAATAACATATTTAAATTTATTCTGAGGTGGTAAACAATTTAAAATTATTTGCAATGGCCAAAAACCTCGTTTACCACTTTTGGTTAAAGGGGCGCCATCAGTACTATAATTGAATGTTACTATTAAATTTACATTTTTTGGAATATTTTTATAAATTTCACTGTCATAAATGTCTGTTATAACATTGGAATTATTGGCATTGTTGCGCCTACTTCGGTAGCGGTAGGCGCTGCGTAAAGATTCGGGATTCGCCGTGCTGGTCAAGGGGGCTTTGGCTCGGAGAGTTTAGAATAATTATGCACTTTAAATAGATTGAATAACTTTTATTCGGTATCTTCTTATTATACTTGTCACCTCACTCACTCGGCGACCGTACTACCGTGGTTACGCGTGTACGCGACGTGTCGTGCTTCGTCCGGAACCTTGCAGATTAATAACCCGCGGCGCCTTGTGTGCCGCCTTAATTTATACGGATCAGTATTCGGAACACAATAAGACTTGAACTATATCGATCCATTGTGTTACCAAAATGCTGATCTGTTTAACCTACTTTAGACGCAAGTGACACCCGGGCTTCTAAGAACGAGTGCTCGCGTCAGCGCCTAATTGTTTAATAATTAAATAACTTTTGTCACAGGATTCTCGAGAAGTGGCCTCGATTAATGGCCTTCTAAATGTTTATTATTGTTATTGCCTAATTAACCTATAATTATTACGTTGTGGTCTTTCGACACACAACAGCATGACAATTACTTTTTGATAAAATAAAATCGAATATCCCAGTTTTAGTTGCTTGATAAGAAAAAAGCATTGCTAATTGATATCTTATATCAATTAACATGAAATAATTATTGGATGTCAATAAAATTACATGTTTTTCTCGACAAGAATCACACGTTACAGATTGTTTTGTAAAATTATTTCTTGAAGTTGAATACATAATTTTCATATGACACTTGTCGCAGAAATAGTGATAAATTACTTTGTCGTCTGGTGGATCAAATGCTTTACCTAAAGTATACTTGGAAATATTAATTTTTTCGAATTTTGGCCCGGCAAATAATTTTATCATGTTTATAAGCGCAGATTTTCTAACGTCTGATAGCCTAAATCTAAGTGAAAATGCGACGACTAATGTCATTACGTCTCGTATAGTCAAATTGGATTCTGAAAATAACACGATATCGTCGAATGCGACATCGTCTTCTTCACTCGTTTCTTCTTCGATATATTCATAGTTGTCATCGCTTTCGGTAGTATAATTATCCTCTTCATCTTCATCTTCATCATTATTTATTTCATTTTCATCATCAATGCAATCCATGTCACTGTGAGATTTATCGTCGTTGTTAACTGTGTCGTTATTATCTTCATTTCTTGCTGTCGTTGCCATCAATGGAGAATACCGCATGGTAATATTATTCGCAACATTAGATCGCTCGCTGCAATCCTCAGGTTGTTCGGCAGTATTGTTGCAATCGTCTTTAGTACATGTCTGATGGACTCCAGTATTATCTACATAAGAATTATAGAATTTTAAAAACTGTAATGTAGAATAAACCCAGTTAAAAATAAAGCGATTGTTACAAATAGATTTTTATTTTACATCTTTATGTCTATTAAGCATAAAAAAAAAATAAAAAACAAATAAAATCGTAAAAGAAATGAAATCATATTAATATGCAATTTCTTATGTACAGATTATGACATTTACTTACCATCAGTACTACAATGTCGAGTTATGCCAAGAGCTTCCCATATTGCTGATGTGCGTGAAGATACATTATACTTGTATGATTTTTCGTAGTTCTTGTATAAACCCATTTTATACCGTGTTATCTTTTTACGATTTTCCTGGCATGTTTGTTGGATATTGTCGTTACTGTTTGATGTACTTTCCATTGTCTGTGATGTGCGGTTATAAAATGTTTAATTTAGTATTGTATATGCAGCATGTACAACTTTCTTAGCATAAGATATAATGTACAATTTATTTTTGACACTTACCTGATCTTAATTTTGCATCAGCAAGCAGTAGAATTTATTTATTTTCTACATATAGTTCAAGAACAAAATTCAACCACATGTTTCTTGCACGACAGCCATATTAGCCGGTATGCGTGCGCAGCGGCACTTCGCTCTAAGGCCTGTTCTACAATACAGTGGTAAGTCGTGAGAAATTGACCAATCACAGTCGATTATTCTTCTGTGATTTATCTGTGATTGGTCAATTTCTCACGACTTACGACTTACGACTGTATTGTAGAACAGTCATAATTCGGTACTTGAGTTGTGACAAGCGATCGAGCATGCGCGGCCTTGTACCAGCTAGGCACGGTACTCGGCGATTGGCCATTTCCACCATCATTCCACCGCGTGATTCTCTGCGACTGTGATTACTGTGAGTCGGTGCCGGTGCAGTATGCAATAGCACAACAACGTTGGCAAATTTCTGATTCTGAAATAGAATATCGTTTAATTTTATCTCGCAATATTCAATTGTTACAATACGTTCATACAGTTTTCTTTGTGAGGTTGAATTTTTTTGTAACAAAAGAAATGTATGCGTATGTGTAGGGTTGCCAGAGTGTCTCTTTTAAAGAGAACATGTCCTCTTTTTTTGTCCTGATCTTTTTGTTCACTCTCTTTTTTTATTCTGATCTTTTTGTCCTCTTTTTTCTTTAGTTACTTTTTGTCTAATTTTTTTTATATTGCAACTTGCAACGTCCTGGTAATTAGATTTGTGACATAAACGGGTATTAATAACAGATAACAGGTAACACTAATAAGTGCTCTTAATGTTAATGGAAATCAACCTTTATAGAAACAAAATTTTACGCCATCTACTAATAGATAAGGTTAAACTTTTCTAACACGGCTACGCGGCGCAAGGCGCAAACGCACAAACGTTCACAATTCACAGTAACAGCCAACTGATATCAGCAGTCAGCAGTCAACAGTGTCAACACGAAATAAATTACAAAAAGATTTTTCTTTACTTTTGTCAACAAGTATTTTTTCGTGTTTATTTCTTATTAGCAGGTAATTATAAAATAGGCAGTAGGCAGTAAAATTATTTTATTTATTAAAATTAGCTATTGAGTGAAAGTGAGGTTAAAACACCAAATCTTATCGTATAAAACTTCAAAATAAAATCAAAATTGTTAGATGTCAGAATTTTTTGATCACTAATTGTGATTTAATTTGTCAATATAAAGGCATAATCTCAAAAATAAATATGTTTTAATTCCAACAAAAGTATTCAATGTTCAAATGCATTTTTAATTCTTAATTTGCAATTTTATTTCTGTAATTTTTTAAATTAGAGGTTCTAAAATTAATTGTTATCTTCTCTTATTAAATAGGATATTTTAATTTTTTTTTTACAGTTATGAGTAAAAGAAAATGCACATTTTCTTCTGAATTGAAAGCAAAATATACATGTTTTGAAGGTGTTGATGATTCTAAATACGATGCTTTCTGTTCGGTATGTAAGATTAGAGTTTCTGTTGGAAATAAAGGAAAATATGATTTACAACAACATATTGAATCAAAGAAACATCAGTTATATATCCGATCCATGGAAACATCAAGCAAATTAGATTCTTTCGTCTCCAAAAATAAAAAATTGGATGAGAAAGTAGCGGCTGTTGAAGCAACCTAAGGATTCCATATTTTAAAGCATCACATGAGCTTCAACTCATCAAACTGTACAACAGATTTATTGAAACATATGTTCGAAGACTCTGAAACTGCTAAACATCTATCATCTGCTAAAACAAAAACAGCAATGGTTAGAAAAAAAGTTATTGCTCCCTATTGCATTAGTAAAATTATTGAATCTATATCTAATATTCCTTTTATATCAATATCTACAGATGCAAGTAACCATAATTCAGAAAAAATGTTTCCGATTTTGATACAGTATTTTACCATTAATGAAGGAATTTGCTCAAAATTGATTAATTTGGAAACTTTATCTAATGAAAAAGCACAAACAATTTGTGATTTATTAATAAAAACTTTAAAGAAATGGAATTTGGTTGATAAATGCATTGCATTTTCAGCAGATAACTGCAATACAAATTTTGGTGGAGTGCGCAGAGCTGGGACAGAAAATGTATATAGCTTATTAAACCGGGAAATGCAAAAAAATTTGATTGGTATTGGCTGTCCAGTACATATAATACACAATGCTGCAAAAAAAGGCTTGGACACAATAAGTATTGATGTCCAATCAATAATTATGAAAATATACAATCATTTTTCGGTATATACTGTACGAACAGAAGGATTGAAGGAATTTTGTGAAAATGTAAACATTGAATATAGGCAGTTGTTATATCATAGTCCAACGCGTTGGTTATCATTGTTTCCTGGTTTAAATCGCGTTTTGCAAATGTATCCCGCCTTAAAGTCCTATTTTTTATCTAACAATAGTTGTCCAAAAATTCTGCAAAACTTTTTTGAATCAAATTTAAGCGAGGCTTCTTTGTGGTTCGCTCACTCAATTATGTATAATTTTCATGAAAAAGCAAAAGAGTTAGAAACAGAAAAAAATTCTATTATAGAAACTATAAATATTTTAAAATATTTAATTACTATGCTTGAACAACGAATTGAACAGTCTTTCCTTCCAATAAAAGTTTCAAGTATTCTGCAAACTATGTCAAAAGATGGTTCTGACTTCCAAGTTACTAATTTTAAGAACGAAACAATTTGTTGCTATAAAACAATGTTAGAGTATATCATTTCCTGGTCTTGTCAATTTCATGACTTGAATGTTTTTGAATGGATATCCCTTACTAATGTACCTGAATGGCAACAAGTTGCCAACGCAATAATATATATTAATTCAAAAATAGAAAGTTATATTTATATTGATGATGTAAAATGCTTCGATCAATATTGTAACTTAAAACTGTATATTGAAAAGAATATTCATAGCGATGAATTTGAAAAAATGTCACTAAATTTAAAATGGATTACATACTTCAAACAATCAAATAATTTAGAATTTTATTCTGAAATATTGAAAATTTGTCAGTATTATTTTGCAATACCAGGACATAATGGAAATGTAGAAAGATTATTTTCGATGATTGGAGCACAATGGACAAAGGAGAGAAATCGTCTCAATATATATTAAATCAATATTGTCAGTCACTTACAATTATAAAAATGTAACATGCAAACAATTTCATAACGAAATAAAAAATGATAGTAAATTGCTATCACAAGTTCTTAGTTCAAAGAAATATGAAACTGATTATGAGACTGAGGAAACTTTACTGTGATTTTTTTTTAAATTATATGATTACTATTATTAGCTATTAGTATTAAATTTAAGTTAAAATTAAGTTATTTTGTTTTCATTTATAATTTATAAATGTTTTATTTTATTTTTTATTTGAAAAAGTGAATAATATTT